TGAGCAGACTTGGTAGCTTCAGCATAGGACTTCATTTTCACCCCAAGAGTTTCAACCATTTCATGCAAAGTAGGAGTAGTAACAGTAGAAGCTTGAGAACCAACCTTGTCTTGAATGTCCTCAACAAACCCAGAGATTTGGAACATGATCTTCTCAAAACTTTTGTGAGAAATCTTCAACTCCCGGATTTCATTCTTTGCAGCAGCCAAGGCAACATTTTGTGCCTTGAATTCTTGGCGTAGCACTTTCAATTCCTCCAAAACCGTTTGCACAAGATTGAGAAGTTTGTTTTCAGAATCCATCATGAACCCAACTTTGCAAGATGTTACACAAACTCAAAGTTTTGAAATGAAAACTTATTGAAAGCAGCTCCGTTGAGGCTGAAAATTTGCCGGTAGGTGCGTCCGGCCGTCGTGAACAAGCCCACCAAATCTCAGCTCCTGTTAACACTCCAACAAGAAGATATGGCCCCCGCAAGATTCATGCTCAAACCCCTAAACTCAAAGTTTCGAAATGACAACTTCTTGACAGCAGCTCCGTTGAGGCTGAAAATTTGCAAGTATGTGCGCCCAGCCGTCGTGAACAAGCCCAGGAAATTTCAGCTCCTGTTGACACTCAAGCAAGAAGATATGGCCCCCGCAAGATTCATGCTCAAACCCCTAAACTCAAAGTTTCGAAATGACAACTTCTTGACAGCAGCTCCGTTGTGGCTGAAAATTTGCAGGTATGTGCGCCCGGCCGTCGTGAACAAGCCCACCAAATCTCAGCTCCTGTTTACACTCCAGCCATTAACCTCTTGAGACACACAACCTCTTTGTCCCCTTTTGATAAGGCCTTGTATTCAGCTTCAGTTGTGCTATCATAAACTGTGGGCTGTTGCTTGAACGACCAAGATACAGGTCCGCTTGAAAGCTTAAAAATATAAGCTCCAACAAATCAAAGAGTGTTTGTAGAACTAAGGTAATCTGCGTCAGTATAGTCTTGAATATGCGCTTTTCCCTTTTGGTAAAGTAAACCATAGTTCAGAATGTCATTGAGATATCCGAGGAGAGGTTGAACTGCAGTCTAATGGCCATTTGCGGTTTATGCATAAACTGACTAAGAAGTCCAACAAGAGACAAATTATCAAAACAATTGTGATAGAGGAAGATGAGCTTACCGACGAGGTGACAATATTTTGAACTATCAAAGTATGGCGTATTTGTATCTGCCTCGAGAATCAGTTCAGCCGGAAGCGCAACTGATTCAATGAGGGATGTGTCCGAGATGCACTCTTTGAGTAAGTCCGTGATGTAGTTGGTTTGATGCATAAAACTTCCACTAGTAGTGGTATGCACGATGAACACTCCAAGATATCAAGAGACTCTACTTAAATTTTTCATCTTATAAGGTAAGCTAAGTTGAGATTTGATCTTAACGACACAAGAATAATTATTACCAATAATTAGCATGACATCGACGTAGAGTAAAAGTACAGCAACAGTTTTATGTGCATGTAAAAAGTATAAGTTAGGATCTAGCTAACTTATGGTCCATTTGTTGGAACGAAGGTATGTGTCAATCTCCTCTAACCACTGACGAGGAGATTTGAGTCTGATAAAGAACTTTTCTTTAGACACATCAAGTGCTCCTTTCCTAGTTCTTCAAAGCCTGGAGGCTGATGCATGTAGATATGTTCTTGTAGCTTTTCATTCAGAAAAACAGTGATAACATCCATATGATGCAAAGTCCAACCAAGAGTCACAGATAGTGTTATCATTGCTCAAAGAGTAGACTACCGGACCACAGGATCAAATGTCTACTTGTAATCCACTCCATACGTATGCTCCAAGCTACAAGCAACAAGCCTAGATTTCAGACAAATGTGTGTAAGAATCAACTCCTGTTTTGCTTTGTAGATCTAATGTGAAGTTAGTGTCTTTTAACCTCGAGGAAGTTCAACAAGTTCCCAAGTGAGATTCGTAATAAGAGCATCGAATTCTTCCTGCATTGCTTTCCACCGGTCTGGATTGAAGCTATGCTTGGTGGAATGAAATCTGATCAATAATTTGGGTGGATCATCTTAAAAGCATTGAGTTGGTGAGGTGCAGAGATGAATAATCGTCATAACGAGCATGTAAACGTCGCATCTTTGATGAATTTTGTAGTTGGGTTAGTAATGTTTGAGACTGTGAAAATTGGAGCAATGTTAGACCTCGTAGGAGAAGTCGTAGGCAATGCTTGAGGTTGAAGTAGATCTGGTTGGTGAATATTCGAGGGAGCCGTGAAATCAGATTGATGAAAGTTATTCTGTTCTATCGGTGACGGAGTAGGAAGCGAGGATCGTCATCGAGAAGGTAGGAAAAAATATCCACAAATGATTGATCCAACCAAAAATCACCTATGATAGATTCAAATACAATAACATATGCGGATACAACTATGCGCTTGTTATGCGGATCCCAACATCGATAAGCTTGTGACTGCTCATCATACCCCAACAAAACAACGCGAAAATACTTCACTTGTAATTTAGTGAGCTGTTCTATTGAGATGTGGAAGTATGTCATACTACCAATCACACGAAGACGAGATAAGTCTATAGAAATGTCGAATAACTTCTCAAACGGAGTTGTCAAGTTCAATGCTCGAATGACACACCGCTTGAGCATAAAATTTGCAGCTTGCGTGCACTCAATCCAAATTTGTACGGAAAACTTTTGAGAAGTAAACAGACATTGCGCAACTTCAATCAGCGTACAGTTTTTGCGCTTTGAAACTCCATTTTGATGCGGATTTTGAGCAATGGTGAGTTGGCGTTGTATGCCTTTCTAAAGACAATAGGTTTTGAAGTACTGAAACAAATATTCTAATCATCTGTCCGAACACATGCTTGAGATTTTGAAGTCCAAGTCATTCTGCCAAGTATTGATGGCAGCTACTTTATGTGGAAACAAGTTTTTGACTAAAGTGACAAACTTTTTAAAACAATCGAAAGTAGCACTCTTAATTCAAAGTAAGTAGGTTCATGTATACCATGAATAGTCATCGATAAAAGTCATCATATACTTAAATTAGGTTCTTGCTACAACTGGACCACAGATGTCGGTATGGATAAGCTCCAGAAGATGAGTACTTCGCTTGGCAGGCTTCTTACTCTTGTGAACGTAGTGTTGCTTAGACAAAACACAGGTGATGCACTTATGTTCACGACCTGATGATAAGTAAGGCAAAACTTTCACAAGACATTTGGACGACATGTGGTGTGCTGTCTGGAAATTCAGGTGACAAAGTCGATGATGCCAAAGGGTTATTGTGTCAATGAGCGATATAGTTGCAAGATTTGGATTGTACTCAGTGATAACAACAAAATCAAGTTGATGGATGATCTCAAATCATCAATCTTTGGTGCAAAGAATCGTTTGGAGTCGGATAGTCCAATTGAGATAATTGTCACGCCCGAAAGTTTCATAGACTCATGAAAGTTTAGAACTTTGTTCATTGCTAGCTAAGGTGCTAAAACCTAAGTTCTTTTCTAACAGGAAGGCATATGCTTACTGAAAGTAACAAGACCGGCATATATCCAATCGTTGTTCGCTAGCAAAAGAAGAACGAAGAAGTTTGCTCTACCACCATGTTGAAAGTAAGGGCTGAACTCAATATTAGATTAGTGAGAGAAGTATACCTTAAGTAGCAAAGGTGATAAGTATGATCGAGAACATCGACAGTCAATGTACCAACTTATTGTACAAAGAAGGGTAAGAAAGCAAAGAAGATCTAACACCACAAATTATCCTAATCTTATTACTACACTACACTTTGTAACTAAATACTATGATCAGCATGTTGGTTCTCTACAACTGTATTTGAAACGTGTGTGATAACATTTAAAATTATGTAAGTGCCAATTGACAATCACGAAGATCATTTAAACCTAGATTTCACATATCATCTTTCAATTTTGTTATTGTAAAAGTATATAATTTCTTTTTGTATAATGAAAACTACCATTGCATTTCGAAAATTTCAACAATTTGATTGCAAACTTATCAAATACTAGAGATCAAAACTGATGATAAGAATTTCTCAATACAATATCCTTTTCACATTTACTACCATACTTAAAAATTTGATGAATATGAATTTACACATTATGTTCCATTCGATATTTGAAAGTGTATTTTAACAGTTTTTTTTAGATTTCGTTTATCTAGATGAGTTGAAAGTTGTGGACAGAATTAATTGTCTACTAGTATGTAAATTTCGTCTATAGTAGTGAATACTTTTTTTTTTTCTTTCATGTGTACGTTTATAGTTGTGATTACAATCGTTATCTTCGAGTAAGTTTTATACTAAGATGTTTTGGTACTGATGTACATGAGCTGGTGTGTACTTCATGTCGTTTAACTGTGCATTTCACTGAAGATTGTAATCATTTTTTTTATGGAAGATTTCTCCTCGCATTTTCAGGGAGAACAAAAAATATTATATGATTTTCAGCCATGCTAAACATTCTCTTTCAATTTCAGAATTTCAATATTTTCACTTGAACGTATAAATGTCCAAATTTAAGTTTTCAATATTCATTTTTCTCTCTCTTGAATGTTTGTGTATATGTCCAATCCAGTTTTTTATGATAATTTATAATGACCTGCGACAATAACGACGAATAGATTTGGGTGTAGGGTGTATATTCCAAAAGTCGATACAGCTTAAGAATTAGATCATACATTATGCAGTAGCAACAAGTACAGACAGTGATTTTAAGTGTGAAAGTAGTACTATTATAGTAAGAGACTGAATAATGTGCGACAGGTGTTCAGAGAGCACCAGCCATAGCACAGTTTAACTCGAAATGCCACATGACATGGACTCAAGACGTACAGACGCGATAAAGCACCGAGGATACGGTCCTTTAAATCCTTCATCCATAGACACGACAAGGTGTCAAGATACACCAATCTCTGAGCACGATAACATAATGAGTGATCAAAACGAGAGTTTCTCTGTACATTCCGCAGTAGTCATAACATGCTTTGTAAATCAGATTCTACCGTTGATGTTCGAGTGTCTACCAATCATGTACAGTCACGCTTCGACCAATTTTGGCTATGAAGAATAAGCTCAAATAAACAGGGATCTCCGGTCCAATCTCTCTCATATATTCAAATTCAGAAGGAACCGATTATGTCAGAAAAAAATTTTCACAGAACAATATATATATTCCGGCTGTTAATCAGATCTAGACAAGAGGATATGTAGGTACTGTCATTCCCCCTTCGGGTTGTCTGTTCACTAACGTGAAATTTAGAAACTGCAGCAGCTGTTGAACTACGTCTTCCATCCTTTTACACGACTCCCGCTTGATCAACAATCACATCATGTAGAGTTCTCGTCCCTCTTGTCCAGACCAACATATGCACTTTCTTTCTGTTCACTGAATGAGACATTTTCTCCTCCTGTTTTCCACTTCCGATCTCTTACAGCGTGTGTACTGAAACTGTCAGATCGCTAAAAAGGCCCTTAATGCTCCTACTTTGTCCTTTCAATCTCTTAAAATCATAAAGTGTCGAACAGCTCGATCTTCGCAGCGTACATATCTATAAATCAGAAGGAAGAAGATCACTTACACAATGTCCTATCCCGATGATGGAAAGGATGATGATGGACCTCGAATTTCGAGGCTGCAGCCTTTAAATTGGAGCCACAATGACTTGGAAAAAGCCCTATTCACATGAATAAGAATGGCCCGAAGATTGGCATGGCATTGCAATGAACATGGACTGCACATCATAACACCAAACCAACCTTTTGGAACATCCTCATCCATGGGAACTGGCCTTTCCCCATGTAAATGTGGGTCCGAGTCAAAGGCAATTTTGTTGTCGATGAACAAGTAACACCAGATTCTCCACTCATAAAGATCCAAGGCTCAGGCCCGAACAAAGTTCTGCAGGCATCCCAGGATAGTGATGATCCCTCCCTTCTCTTTTTCTGAGCACATACCACACGCATTCGGGGACTAACACTCGACGATCTTCACGAAGGAAGATTCATGTACAGGCACATCGGCCCGGTCGATACAACAGTTCCTGTCGATCTGGTACATTGTGTGCCATTTGTACCAATGATGAGATATGTTAACGAGTTCACAATTTGGAGCACTACCTCAGTCCACTCACACCGCTTGATAGATAGATATATGACAAGAGGGAGCAGGTAAGTAGCACTGGACGTCCTATGTGACGGCTCCCGAGCTGGAGAAAAAAAATGAGCCGTGCGAGCCGCAAGGTCTGCAGCTGCTTGTCGGCAATCCAGTTGCCACATAGGTCTCAAAGCTTGCATTCTGATCTCGTCGAAGCATGATAAACGCATTTGAATGGGAAGCAGTAAAAGGAAGATGGAATCCAGATTCACGTCCATGAGCTAGAGAAAAGATTTCACTGCAAGCATCATGGATGGAGGTACCAGCGCAGGATCATCATTGCCGGAGGCAACTTTCACAACCCTGAACAGTTCCATCCGACTGCCTAGTAGCAACAATTACTCCATCCTGGACAGCGTCTGATGCAAAATTCTTCGGATAACAGGCGAGACTCGGGAGGTATACATGAAAGAAGTCAGAAAATGGACAAGAAGGAACGAGAAGCAAAGCACCAGGTCGATGTATGTGTCCGCGGATCCCGAGTGGGACCCCAGGAGGACAGACCATTTCATGCTCGGCTGACGACTGGCCGTCTCGGCGACAAGGAGACAGAAGAATCCAAGCATGAGATCTTCAGCTCTAAAACCTAGATTGCATACACTGCGACGTGCGTCAGCCTCCTAAAACCTCCATGCAGTCATTAAATCTGAATCTTACAGAAACGAGATTCACTCGCGTCATGGTCCCTCGCTGCACTCTACACCGCTGTGCCGCTGTGACCAATCACCAAATCCAAGCCACTCCATAAACACATCGACAACGAAAACAACAACATCATCACTGACTTTGAGGAGCAACGACTCACCGTGACCTGCAAGCAGATCGCGGAGGTGATCAGATAGCCCACTTAGGGTACCTTACATGAGAACACAAGCGAAGCACATCAAAGCAAGCCGAGCCTGCAGAGAAAAGTGGAAGTGAGATGGAATGAGGAAAGAGGAAAATGCGGTGCACATATATAGTGCTAAGGAGGACAGCCATGGTGCTAGCCCGGCCCCTCAGGAACAGCTACACGGACTACCAACCGCATGAATACACGTTCGTCCATGCAAGGACGAGGTCCTGTTGCCCTCCCCCTTTGACGAAGCCCAACAAGCACATCGAACCGAGAGGAGATCAACGGCGCGAGTCAAGCTAGAGTGTCACACGACAAATTACATGAAATCCTCCAGATCAATGGGAGGGAGAGCAGGTGGCTGGTGGATCGTTGATGATCCGGCTTGATTCATGAAAAACTGTGGAGTGAGAAGAATGACAAAGCAGCGGCGGGAGCAGGAGCAGGAGTGAGCATCACGAGATGGAGTCTGGCTAAAATCTGGTTGACTCTCGACTGAGAGGTCGGGATTACACTCACCCGTCGTCCTTTCCTGGTCTATCGATGGAGCTGAATGGGGAGGGTTGAGAGAGAGGGAGAGAGGGAGAGTACTGCCATTGCCGACCACCTGGGTTCGAGCATCGCGGCTCGATTTGCCTAAGGCAGATAGATGGACAGCGACTGAGACTGAGGGACTACGACTTATCCTCGGTCACAGCTTTTTATAGCTTGCAGTAGGCCATCTTTGACCCGAGGCGAGGAAGGAGGGCAGGGAGGTGGAAGGAGGTGGAAGGAGGATGTTCCCACAACCCACCCCGCCCCGCCCCACCGCACCCGCATCCCCAACCCCAACCCCACCGTCCTTGTAGAGGAGCATTATTGACCCACGCATACTTCAGACAACACGAGCAAAATGGACAGCAGGACAGCACGAATCTCTACGGAATAGAACTTTAGCCAGCTCACAAAAACGACAGACAGTATGTCCCGTCCCGTCCCGTCTCGTCCACCGTATGCGTCAAGCTGGCCGATTTCCAGGGTCCGTTCGTCCGCGCGCGTCCATGAGATTTATGCGCGCGTGCATTCGATCGATCGATCGACAGACCCACCCATCCATCTCGGAAAGTTCCTTCCGCCAGAACGAGATCCGAGATTTTCCTCGCCCCACGCCAGCTCCGTCCAATGCAGTGGGGTCTGGACAGACTTATGGAGTAGGATGAGGTCGCTGCGCGAGTACTAGCTGCCAACCCTACCATGAAAACAGCACCAGCAAGGGGAAGGAGGCTGAGGCTGAGGCTGATGTTGTGGCCGTGGATTGGGGCTCGAGGCAGGGGCTCCCTAGAGGGGTTTAGAGATAAATTACAGCCCTGCCCTGCCGACCCGACCCGACCCGACCCGACCTCATTTCGCACGCCAGAATTTGGTGACGAAGGGGGGTCCAGTGGTCCGCTACTCGGCTCTGATTGAACATCCGAAAGCAGCGGGGCATCGTTCGTTTCTCCCCCTTGACAAAGCGACAAAACCTCTCGCTTCCTTCGGTTCGTCACCTTCATGAACCCATCCGACGCTCTTTCCCCTTTCTCCCACGCCGTGCCTGACGATTTCTCATATGAATACGTACTTTATACGTATCCGGTGATACAGGGAGAGATCCATGCACAAGATGATAATATACGCCGCACCCAACGGGCGGGCGGGCCAGCCGGCGGGGGAACATTAAGCGCGACTCGCAAGCGTAACAGAACACGGTTCTTGGGGGCTGTTGTTATCTCGGTCGCATAAGCGGAGAACAGCCGGTGGCACGCATGGACGGAACCGGTGACGATGGACGGCGGGGGGCTGACGGGCAAGGGCGGGCTTGTCGCACTTGTGGCGGGCCTCTGGTACAACGGCCGATGATAGGCAGGGGCAGAGCGGAGGGGGAGGGGAGGGGGAGCGGGGGCTGGGGGTGGGGTTGGGGGAGCCGGTCGGCCTTGTGGGGGCTTTGGCGTGAGGGGGGAGCGAGCGAACGTGGGGACTGCGGGGGAGGAGGCCAGAAGGGGCAGGGGCCGACGTCGGGACCTGGTGCCGAATGCCGAGAGCGATGCCGTCACCGTGCCGCTCTTCGGGCCCGTTGGGGGGCGGGCGGGGGCTGGCGGGTTCTGATTTCCATGCGTGTGGCACTGGGCGCCCATGGCCCGGACGACGGACCGGACGGCCAGACATTGTCTGGCAGACATAAGCCTTTTGCCCCAAGCCCAAGCCCAGCCCCCCGCCAGCCACCCAGCCACCCAGCCCCGGGCAGAGTCCAGAGGCTGTTCAGAGGGGAACATGTGAAGCGATGAGAGTGTCTGTTCTGAGCGCCTCTGACTGCCCCCTCCCCCATCCCCCCCCCACCCCCCTCTCTCTCTCTCTCTTTCTCTCTCTCAATGAATCTCTACGATTGTGTACGATTGCGGTTGGGGCGTGTTGTGGATCACCAACTCCTTCCTCGCTAGCTCGCCCACGATACGGGACTCGCTTGAGTGAGAGAGTGAGGGACTCTGAGTCTGAGACTGAGCTGCAGCTGCTGCTGCTGCAGCAGCAGCTGGAGAGGGTGTCCCGGCCCGGCCCCCTTCCGTATTACTCAGCCCTGCAAAAAGCATGGTCGACAACTGGACGTGGATCTTTGATCATGAATAGACGGTGTGTGTCAATCTGTCACCGACTTTGCTAGGTGGACAACCCTGAGCCCTCCAACAGTGTTCCTCCTCTCATCATACATTCATTCAGGCATTCATTCATTTGCGCTCCCGTCGAAGTCTAGGCACCGGAGGACGAGGAGACGAGGCACTTTTCGCTTTCGAACGGAACGATCTCAAGAGACGAAATCCCATCGAAGCCATCTGAATCGAGAAATAATTCCCCCCTAGGCCGACTCAACCAAAATACAACAGACTTCTGACAAACTCCTGCCTGCCCTGCCCTGGCCTCTCTCATGACTCTGCAGCAGCCATGCCTGCAGCGGCTGCAGAGAAATGAATCTCAAGTGCGGTGCGGTTCAGTTGCACCCACACCATCGTTCGGTCTGGAACTCAAAAGTCTGCGAGGGGCTGCCGGGCTGCCACAAAGTACTCTCGGTACTTCGTCCAATATACCCGGCAGTAAAATCGAGGGCTCCGGTTGTTGAGTGTATTTTGACCGACTTTTCAGCTTTGCCCTTCCAGCAAACATTTATCGCTGCCTACATGCCTGTCAATCTAGATAAACTGCAACCTTGGAACGTTAATCATCAACTTTACAGCCCGGGCAATCAGCAGCAGCAGCAGCAGCCCACCGTGGTTTCGTCGACTGTGTGCATCCCAAGATGCGACTTTTTTGAGCTCGGCTCAGATCATGGACCGCGACATGATGAACTCGAGTTAAAGGGTCCACACGTATAAGATAGTACAGCTGGATAGATATGTTCACCCGACGGTTGCGGCATTCATGACCTTCTTGAAACTACATGCAATCCAGCTTTTTCAATCACAGCTTTGAGCTAATTTTATCTGAGAATCGGCCTTGTGGTCACAGGGCCAGTCAGTGGGTCTCGAATGGTACAAGGTATGGATGTATGTATGACAGCAACCGTTTGACTCAAGCTTCCATCGAATCTCGAACGTCACTGGTCTACCTCTGGGCACCACAATCTTTACTGTTACGAGCTCCGAAAGTTCCATACATCAAATCCCTCTGCCATGCCACGAACGATGCCATCCGAATCAAGCTTCCAGTTGACCGGGCTCCGTCCCTTGCACATAGACTATGTATTCGCACCGGATTCCGATCCTTCGTATACGAGCCCAGCAGCAATGGGACCAGCCGTGCACAATAATAATATCGACCTCCGGCCATGGTATCGAATCGGGAACGGGTTGCACAAACTTCGCATCACGCCCTTTCGTGCCCATGTGCCCTTGTGCCCATGTAGCCTGCGGGGCCGCTTAACCCGACTGCTAATTGCCTGAAGTGCTCACGACTGAACCCGAGAGTTTCACCTGCTGCTGGTGCTGTTGCTTTCACCTGGTTCACAGATCGAGCGTCATTTGGTTGTCGTGAAGGAATGGGGTAACATGGCCCCATTCATGTTACCCCATTCATGATCTGAAGGGGTTGGACTTCGACATGAACTGGATACGGGGGGTTGAGCACGCCATTCGGAGAGTCGTCTCCAACAGCGAAGACAAGTATTTGTTTTACTAGCATGGGAGATCGTAGAGAGGACTCTGAAGGTGGTGGTGTGCAGTTCTAGTGAGATCTGGTGAGGAGGTAGGGCTCCTGTGCAATTCTCCAAATGAACACGATTTGTTTATGCGAACATCTCATCAGATTCTGCCCAAGTCACAGTTACCTGCCTCCTTTGAATAATCGTTGGCCATGAGTCTGTCTGTTTGGCGACTGTGAATGAGGCGTTGGAGGGGTTGGGAAGGGGAAGGGAGGGGCAGGGAAGGGAGCAGTTGGTTTCTGATGAGTTTATCCTCGATGATGGATGTCGTGTTTAACAGCGAGTTTCCATGGCAGTGCCCTTCGTAGCCGATAATATCGGACCTGCAAGCTACTTGAGAGCTTGTCTGCATCGGCCGTCGAGATCACGCGCACTAGGCTTTTGCAACTGACCTCAACGAGTAGTATTGTCGACGAAGCTTTTGTCTCGCCTTTGAAGCTCGACAAGTTCATCATGGAATCCACAATCGGACACTGGTTTGGATCTTCTCATTGGGTAGGTCAAATAGCCTCTCTCTCTCTCTCTCACGAAAATCGCAACACCGTCGAGTAGGTAGTTGAAAGATCTTCGAGCATCGGCTGCACCGGTGGGTTGGGATACACTATAAATAACAATATTATAGTATTGAATGGATCGGGGATATCGAAGTCATGATTAGCGGTGATAGCGAGATATTTTGATCGTCATCCTGACAGTTGTTCAAATGATATCGTTCGACGATCGAGCGAAACATCCAAACAGACAATCCCCTACCTGCGCGATGCTAGAGTTGTACATGGGGTAAAGTTCAATTTATCTCCCCACCAATGACCTCACGGGACCAGAAAAGGTCTCACCCATCATCCATCCTCAGCTTTTGCCGCTGTACCAGACAGTTAGCTGAGCGAGGGACGGTTACTGAAACATATGACACGCTCTGACAGTTTTGTTTTTCCTGAACCATCCATATAGCAGAAAATCTTGTGCCCTTCGAGCATCATCCCTGCTCAGCTCTTGTGCCTTCGACGATGCCTGCAGAATTCAGTGCATCACGATCACTCTCTCGCCATCACAGGCCTCTTGTCTCGGGCCCGTGCTCTGATTACTTTTGGTCTCCGTTCTCGAGCTCCCGAGCTCTCTCCTATGTACTCACTTTCCCATACCTCGCAGTTGCTGGAGCATCTTTGCTGGGTCCGCCTCAGGTGTATAATATATAGGCCTTGCGGGGCTGCCAGCATCATATGTCTTGGCTGCGTGCCAGCTTTCTCACTCACTCACTCACATGTCGACTGCTCTCGGACTCGGATAGAATGTCACACCGAGAACACGCGTGGAAATATATAAGAATAGGAAGTAGAGCACTGTTGTTGTAAAATGGAGAGAAAGTAACGAGACTGCGCGAGTTCCGAGAACAATGCGAGCATTCCTCGCTTGCATTCAATGTTCATATCTCTCAAATCCATTCGACAGTCGTGTACAGTGAGATTTTGCACGCGCCACATATCTACTATTGCTTTTCTGCTCGATTCGCCAAATCTATGAGCTTCCCATTGCCTTCGACACAAGTTGGGCATGTCGACCAGCGGCCAGACTACAGCGAGCGTTGAACTGGAAGCCTGGACCCCGTCTGCCCGAGCCCGAGCCATGCACACTCGGTTCGAATCAGAATGCCTCGCTCGAGCACCAATTCGTGATCTGGTCCAGACGCACCTCTGATTCACTGTGCAAGGCTTTTGATCTGCCGCTGATGTCCTCTGCAGCAGTTTGCTGTCCGCACAGTGGCGTCCGAGCTCGTCCGTGTCCACTTCGTCCGAACGTACAGAGTGATGAGTTTATTATCTTCCGAGTCGCTTCTACAACCCCGCGAGAGAGACTTTTGGCTATCAATCACACTGTTGGCCTTACTGAGTGCTACCGAGTGCTGACGTTTCGGTACAAGCCATGTACGATGGGCATGGTTCTCATTTGCGGTCTCCCATCAGTCACATGTCGGTCGGTCTGTCTGTCTGTCTATCATGGGCTCGTGCTGTTTTTAACTGAATAATATATATGCCGGCCATGCACTCGAGCAACCTGCAAGAGGTGAGTCGGCTCGGAGGCCATTGTGGCATTCCTTCTTTCCTTCTGCAACTGCTGTTTCCTCCAGTTTCTGGCATCAATCCTCAAGTCAACCGCAGGCAGGCGTTCCGGGAGACGAGATCGACTGGATGGTTCATCATTCTACGAGTCGCCCTCTTACATCTTATGTCTTGGATGGGATACACAGTCAGTAGAAAAGCCCACTTGCGGTGGAGTTTGTCAATAGAAAACTGAGATGGATGATCGGGAAATGTGGACTACGAAGAATTCCACTGCAATGTAGAACTGCTGCACTTGTGGAGATTGATTCTCCATTTGTCCGCATCGAGAAGGCAGCTACTGTCTTCACGGTCCGTGATCACAAGCACCTCGTGGTCGGTGTGGATGGTCACTAGTTCTTCAAGGCATTCTGTTGCACCGGTATTCAGACCACCCTTCCCTTCCACATGAGAGAAGATCAGCAAAACACTTTGCACTTGGATAATGAAAGCGAGGTGGCAGCACAGAAAGAATTGAAACAAACTCGACCTGATCCCCACGATGGTTCACTGGCGGTGGGAGAGTGGAACCGAGCCTCGAGTTCGAAAGCAGTTGACGCTTAAAAGCCTTAAAATTGGCCCTGAAACCAGACATGCATCATATTCTGCAGAAAACACTCCGCACATCATGTTCAACTGCCTGTCACACGAGATTCCAAACTAACGCATTATAGAGCTGATGACAGCAAATGGCTGGGCCCTTCGTAGGATAGATGCGGAATTCGCTAAGCAATCGACTTTATCTTACAATATCGAGAAACATGTGAATGACGAGCCTGTCATTGCGTACACTCCATCATTCTGCCCAGAGGTCGGGGATTGAAATAAGCTACAGTCTGCCCATATGTGGGCCTAACTCGCCACATCAATCAGTTTCTACTCGCATCTTTGGAGATAAATATATGCTCCGAGTGGAATACATGCACTCTGGGAGCTCAGTCCAATCAGCAGAAAGCGTGCAGTTTTCTTCTCGAAACCGAGTGGTGTTACGCTCCATCCTATATGGGTGCACTATTGCATAAGTCTGTTGCTCCGGTGTCATTTGATTGCGGCGCGTTCAGGCTCGATGCAGTTTACTTTACTGTTTTTCGTTGTTTTGGTTCATCTTATCTTCTGTCATGGTGAGAGGTAACCATCATTGAGATTCAAAATGTGCTGGATAATATTGTCTTGTGGAGAGTTAGCCCTATTTCCGCGCTTTGTCAAGTCTGGGCATTCATCTCTCTCTTTGAGCCCATGATGGTGTCATCGTCTTCAAGGTTCAGCATGGCGGACACGAGATTATACACTCGGATTTCAGAATCTTCATCGTATGCATACATCTTCTTGTGGCCTTGCAGCTCCATGGCAATCCTATCGGAGGAGAGGTCCCTGTGCTGTGAAGCACTCCGAGTCACTGACTGCTTCTTCAAAGGGGCACTCATGTCGGATCCAAGCAGCTGCCGCTGCAGCTGCGACAAGAAAGTAGCAAATACTCGCTAGCCACGACTTGTTTTGCTCGAAGTGCAATGCGCTTTTCGAGCCGTGGGCGGATGAGGATGCAAACTGGAACTAACTCGTGGCGTTGTCCAGCACTGATCGTGACGAGGCGCAAACCGAGCCTCAAGCACACAACTTTGCTGTGTACGTTCATTCCAAATTCTGCGCACTACATTTAGTGTGGGCGAGGAGTAGAGAACGACAGACTTAGTCGGTCCAACTTCGTGTCGAGTCTCCGGGCTGTGTGTGCCAACGAGGTAAGTCCAGGATGCCACAATGCTCAAGACATGACCGGACCCTGGACCGATAAAGCTTGTTGTCCTTTTCCTGCTTTCTCTCTTACAAGAAAGAGGAGTTACAGACCGGGGATTGTGCTCGACAGCTGCAGGGATTGTGAGTGTCGTCACAAAGGGCAGCATTGCGATTTGCGTTTCTCCCCCCTCCTCTAAGCAAATGTCGGCTAATTAATGAGCATGGAAGATGAGGAGGTGAGGGGTCGTGAGCTGCGACAAGAAAGTAGCAAATACTCGCTAGCCACGACTCGTTTTGCTCGAAGTGCAATGCGCTTTTCGAGCCGTGGGTGGGTGAGGCTGTAAAGCAACTCGTGGCGGTGCTTCGTACTGATCGTGACGGGGTGCAAACGTCGTCTTGCCCACCATTCTTGCAAATAATACCGAGCTTGAAGCCCACAACTTTGCTGCGTACGTTCATTCCAATTTGTACGTTCATTCGTGATCACTACATTTCAGTGATGGCGAGGAGTAGAGAACGACAGACTAAGTCGGTCCAACTTCGTCGATCCAACTTCGTGTTGAGTCTCCGGGCTGTGTGTGCCAACGAGGTGAGACCAGGATGCCGCAATGCTCAAGACATGACCGCTTTGACCATCGACCGATAAAGCTTGCTGTCCTTCTCTTGCTTTCTTTCTTAGGACGTACAGACCGGGGGTTGTGCTCGACAGCTGCAGGGATTGTGTGTTGCGTCACAAAGAGGACAGCCTTGCGAATTGCGACTTTCCTCGCTCCTCTAAACAAATGTCGACTAAATAGTGATCCTGGAAGACGAGGAGGAGAGGGGTCGTGAGCTCCCACTCCACAGTAAAATCTAGCAAGCTTTTCTGTCTGCTCCAGGGTGCAGGCAGTGTCTGTATTCGGGTTAGTTTCAGTGAAGGTAACATTGTGTGGAACGAGTGTTTCCATAATTCATTGGCCGAGAAAGTAGACTGAGATAAAGAGAGTGTGGAGGAGGGAAAGGAGTACACCGAGGTTGCAAAAAAATTTTGGTTGCGTTTTCACTCGTAGTGTCACAACTCGACTGTATCTGAGTTTAAGATATACACAAGTGTGGACGGCCTGGCGGAGTCTACTGTCGCATTACATTGCATTTGAGTCGGGGTCCTGAGGGAACTGGATCTACATTTACAATCAGCCGCTCCTGTTGGTACTAGCGCCACTGCTACTGATACATTTACAAGGTCGTCTGTCAGCTGCTCTAATCTGGAAACTCTACTCTCTAGTTCTGATGTCCATCGGAGTCCCTGCTGTTCAGGACTTGCGGTCAGCTGTCGAGGGCCCGAAGATTTCTCGATCGTTTCATATCTTCCTGATGCTTGAGAAAAGTGACGACTCTCGCTTCGAAATGTGAAGCTTGACTTGCACTTGAACTGCGCGGCGAGAGCCTGTTCCTTGTCTTCGGACGTGAAATTTGCCCGTTGCCTGATCGACAGCGTGCACGGGCCAATTCGCTCCACGAGCGAGCGACGATCGTGCAACCGAATGCGTTAGTGGATGAGTGAAAAAGTCAGTGAATTGAGTCAGTGAGGGAGTGAGGAATCGATGAACTCGCCCGGCCAATCGATGAATCATTCGTTCTATGCGGCGCTAGTAGTCGGAGGCTTTGTTGGCGGCTGGAGCAGGAGCAGCAGGAGGGAGATGAAGAAGGACGACGACGACGGGGCAGGGGCAGGGGGTAACGAGGGGGAACAATGCTACCGTTTGCGGCCCTGCCCGGATCGGGGGGTGGGGCTAGAGGAAGCTGGTGTGCCTTCGGGTTAGACGTTGGCGGGCAGCGGTGGCAACGTCGTCGCTGGCGAGCTTGCGGATGAGGAGGCAGCTGGAGGCGGCGGCGGACGGGCTGGGGCTGGGGCTGGGGTCGGTGGAGGGCGCGGGGCTAAAGTGGAAGCTACGGAGGACGGAGGCCAGGACGATTTTGGCCTCGAGCAGCGCGAAGTTGTAGCCCAGGCAGACGGACGGGCCGGCCGAGAAGGGCAGCAGCGCGAAGGGCCGGCGCGCGCCGGCGCCGTGCTCGAACCGGTCGGGCCGGAACGAGAGCGCGTCGTCGCCCCAGAGCTCGGGGCTGTGGTGGAGCAGTACTATGGGCACCTGCACGAACGTCCCCGGCAGCACCGTGTACTTGCCCAGCCGGTGCCTCTTCTCGCACAGCTTCTCCGTCGACAGAATCGGCGGGAACAGCCTTAGCGACTCGTTCAGAATCATGTTCATCTGCATCCATCCATCCAATCCACCACTCCGTCAGTACTCCGTCAGTACTCCGTCCATCCCTCCCTCTCTCTCCGGCGACACATTCTCTCGGAAACTTGAACTTTATAATGGATGGAGAAAAAGGTCCGTCTATACTTACAACTTTCAGTTTGGCGAGCTTGGGGTACGTGGAGTTGGGGATGCTGTCGCCGTCGTCGTCCGTCGGCGAGTCGAGCGGACGGACTTCGAGCACTTCGGCGCGCGCCTGCGTCTGCCAGTCGGGGTGGCGCGCCAGCAGCTGCAGCGTCTGCGAGATGAGCTGCGTCGTGGCCTTCTGCGCCGCGACCATCATCTGGCAGTCGGCCACCAGCTTCTGCACGTCCAGCGTCGACGACCGCCTGCCGGACGCCGAGATCATCAGGTCCAGCAGGTCCCGGTTCTTCTCGTCCTGCTCGTCCTCTGCCCCTCCCCAGCCCCAACCCCCTCCTGCCCCTGCCCCTCCCGCAGCCCCAGCCCTTGCCCCTGCCTGCCGCTCCCGCTCGTCGCCCTCGTCGCCGCGCTTCTGCAGCCTCGCCTTGCACGTTTGTGTCAGCAGCCCGATGAGCCAGCTCTCCCTGCTCGATCTGCACTCCACCCTCGTCGGCCGTCAGCTCATGAATTCTCGCGGACTGTAACTCGGCAGTGGCCGAATTTTGTGGAGGTTGAGATGAATTGAAGAAAAAAAAAGGGAGAGAGAATTCATCTATTCTTGTTCTGAAGGTTACCTGATTCGCGAGAAGTGGGCTTTGAGAAGGTCGGTGGTGGTCACGGGATCTTCTTCGTCTTCGCCGAAGTTGGAGTGCAGTTCTTCCAGCTGATCAGCGGTCATGGTGGAGCCTATCAAGTTGGTCAGAAGCATTTCCATGCTGATCTTTTTGATTTCGCGTCTGGCCTCGACGGTCACTCTGCTCGTGGAAGCCTCCGTCAGTTGCATGTCCCAGTTCCGGATCAGAGTTCTGCTGATCTCCACGATCGTCTGCAGGCAGTCCTGTCAATGTCGTCATAAACCACCACCACTCTGTGAGCTTCGCGAGCCTCAGTCTGCGGTCGGATAAAGGAGTTATAACAATACGCTGCTGAACGAAAGACGAGACTAAATATTCTGAATTGGATGAAAGGGAAGGGAAGGGAACGGAAATGGAAGGGTGGCTGGAGGAGAATTCCAATTCTTAAAGGATGGTGCACTTTTGTTGAGGAACACAAGTTTATTAGTAAAAGATCGGGAGGTGCATGCAGCATTGATTGATTGAGGAATCATGTTTGCTTGAATGACCAAGTCGATCGCCTTCTGTCTGATCAGACTGACAGACTCCTACGTAACAAGATACTCACTAAGGAATGGGATGGATGACCTCCGAGAGATGGCTTGGAGAAAATCAAGTCCTGTTCCAAGATTTAAAACGTTGACGAATCAGAGCCGCAAAGTAGAGCAGAAGTGCTTGCAAAGTAAATCACGTCTTCTGCTGCTTGCTGCCGCCACTCTCGATTAATATTATATATTAATCGAGAGAGCACGCGCATCCTGGTCACTCAGTCATCCCAGGATTCAAGATGGATTTTACTCTTTATCACTGTATCTCAAGCAGACTGTTTGAGCAATGATTCCTGGGCAAGCGAGTGATTTGAATGAATGTTTTTCCGTAAGACCACGAGTTCTGCTTCCCAAGCTTTAGACACTACCTCCACATTTGCTGCAGAAAACTGTCAAGGACTTACAATTTTCGTCGAAATATTCTGGTTCATTGCCATGTAGGAACTGGATCTTAGCACTGCAGCAATGGCGTCTGCTAGACACTACCTCAAAGTTTCTCTCAAGGGTAATCGACCTGTGAACTACTCTCGTATGAAACCCAGGCCAAGAACGAACGGACAGGAATCAGGATTTAGACGACAAATAAAAAGTATTCTTCGTGACTGTGTGCTGATTTGCCACAGACTATGGCTACAATTATCAGCAGTTACGAAATCTTTCGTTTTGTCTTCCGTTCTGGGAACAGAAGATGCAGTACGCAAAGGGCGTACTGCACCTTGTTGCCTGGCAGAGGACCACAAACTCGGTCACAAAGTCTTAGTTAGTGTTAATGACATTCGTCTGCAACCATGCATTATAGAGTTTAGAAGACAGAGACAACCCGTCAGTCATTTGTTCAAAATTGTCCGATGGCAGAAGGAAGCCAGGTCGCCTGCTCTGCTCTCATGGATCTTGGCTGCATATTTAAATAATGGGAACCGTCCAGTCACGTTCGATTTTGGGAACAGAGAGAAAAGCAATCATTACAACGAGGGGAGATTCACTTGAAGAAAAAAGGGGATGAGAGGAGTCAGTGGAGATGAGTTGAGTGGGAGGGAGATTCAGTGCACCTGAACGTGATCTTTGTCAGACCCTGGGCCCAGAATTCGTCGAAGTGTCGACCAGCGCTCTGGTTCACAGTGGATCATCTTGTTGTCGATTATATCCTGCTTCGACTGTCGACTCGCTCCATGAGAGTTGCGCCAGAGCCAGCCCGATGGGCTTCTCCGGTAGCAATCGGCTTTCAGAACCAGCAACTCTCTGATAATTTCCGTATCCAGCACACAAAGGTTCACCTTGGCACCTTCCGTGTACGTGAACATCCGACCTACATATCACACACACACACGAGAGTCACAAACGAAGTTCTGCAGACGAACGACTCAAAAGGATTAACTCTGTGATCGACATCCACTTCAAAAGCTAAGAGCTTCAAGGACTTCAGTGCATGTATCTAGATTGATGTTCCCACCGACTGTCAGCTCTAACCTCAAGGCTTACCACAACGGAACGTCAGGTTCAATAATAAGCTGTAAAAAACAAAATGGAGACACCGAGTGACTGAGTGAGTGGTTGCAAGAGCTTGGACGATAACTCACCGTAGAGCTTGGCCCAGTAAGTCAAATGGGGCAGAGTTCGAGCAGCAAGGTTCGCAGGATCAGCAGTCTCCCATTTGATTCTCGTAACCTGACGCTGTAAAGTCCAGATGTCCGCCAAATTTCCCACCAAAGGACGATGCGGGGGCCCTTTCACGTGCAAGCTTTTGTAGAATGTGTGCAGCTTGTAAGGGCGCCATATCCCCAGATACAGAATGCTCAAGAGGAGCAGAACCGATCCGACCACCGTGGCTATCCATCCCAATCCACCCAGCGATCCGATGATTTCTACAGCAGTCATCATTTTCTCTAGTGGTCCCGTCGAATTCCCTCGCCTTCCTGCCTGCCTAACTTCTGTCAATATCACCTCTTTGAACAATCTATTTACAGCAGAAGCTATCAGCGATCAATGCTGAGCTTAACTGAACGAACAGAACTGAGCTGAGGGAGGAAGGGAGGGAGGAGACGAGCTTGTGTACATGTGCGAGGCTACCGAACCCCGGTCATTGTCATCCACTGCTGCAGCTGTACAACTGGATGCAAGCAGGCATGAATCTCCGCTGAGCCACAAGGCGAACTGAAAATGGGCGAGACGAGAGTTATGAACCACGCAACCATCTTTCTTCCTTTCTTTCTTTCCTTCCTTCCTCCCTTCTTTCTAAACTACCTCCGACTGCTATCGTCCCGAACAACCTCGGCTGTTGTCGTCGTGCTTATAGTAGTGGCCCTGAGAAGAGGAGAGGTTGATATCAGTTCCATCCCGAACTGTCGTCCGCCATCACCCAAGACCCGAGAGCTCGCCACCAATTTCAGAAGCATCGGCACCTCCTGCTCTCTCTCTCTCTCTCTCTCTCTCTCTCTCTCTCTCTGGACCTGCCTGCCTGCCTACTTGCTGCTGGATTATAGTTCATGAAGCATGCGAGAAGATGGAAGAGGAGGAGGAGGAGGAGAAGAAGAAGATGAAAGTACACTAGCCGAGCACAGACTGGCTGATGCTCCAGAAGCCCATGGCTTTACTGGGCCAGTTTGCAGAGAGATAGATTAATAGTAGGGCCTATGGGGGAGGAAAGATCTTCTTCTTCGGCTCTAGAGCGTGGAGGCCAAGATCAGGATCCAGACAGATGGGCACGTAAGTCCTATGAATCAACGTTTTACAACTCTCACTCTTGACTCTTCTCATCTCTGCATGCGGCTCACAGACGTAATCCGACTCTATTGAGGTCCTGCTGAAGACATAAATGTCTGTCTGTCTGTCTGTCTATAGAGGCAGGGGTTCTGGCTCTGGCTCTGGCTCTAGCTCTAAGCATCTGCTTCCGTACTCCTCCTACTACGATCGGCAGCCCCAGCCCCAGCTCCAGATCCCCCACCAATCCTTCTTATACTAGCCCCCGCCACAACCCCCCTCCGCTATTGTTGGTGTCACCCATCATCCTTTACAACATCTATCTCCCTCCCTCCCGCCCTCTGGTTCCCTGCTCCCTCCGGCACTGTTGTCACTCGCTCGTTGAATTGGAACAGATTCTTTCCTTGAGTCTTCGACTTTGTCTTGCCACCAGATTCCACCTTTGGTGATGGATCCACCGGAATCGGAATTCGCCCTGATTCCGTCACCAAACGCAGAGCAGAGCAGAGCAGGCCCGAGTTCCCACACATGCTGTTGCTGCTGCTGCAGCTGATGCTGTAGGTCGCTCGGAATACCCACAACTGTACTTGTAACTGGACCGACAAATAGGAGCTACTGGGGAAATGCAATGCCGTCGTTGTGGTCGATTCGGGAGTTCGAAGCAATCCCGAGACGCCACAAGTGCCCGCCCTCGCAGGCAGCCGTGGCTTGCGCAACTGATCCCTCCGGTTCTCCCCTTTTTGGACGGTCGGTTTGTTTCTTTCCGACGATGCTTCTTCTTCTTCATCGTCATCATCACCATCATCTTCTTACCCCTTCCCCATCCCAATCCACAGTTCCTCTTTCAATTGACATTTCGCTTGCTAACGTCTTCTCCTGCCTTGTTTCTCCGCATGCTCAGTCGGTCGGTCGGTCGGTCATTCATTCAGTCATCCAAATCCATCTTGTCCTAGAGCCATTAGATGCCCCTGTTCTGGCAGCAGACCAGCGCCCCCCATCTCCGTCCCTTGGCAACAGACACCAAGAGTCGGGCCCCTCTCTCCCTCCCATTCTTCGTCATCTCGTTGGGGATCCCCCAGATTCGACCTCCTGCGGCTGTATGGAGGAAGCGTGATGCTCTTCCAGCTTCCTTCCGTTCCTTCTTCCCTCCCTCCCATCTCCCTCCCTTTGCTCTTGATGTGCGGGGTCCACATGCGACATCCGTCTCCTTGGACCATTTGCAGATGACAAGAGCTACCAGTCCCCCTCCCCTGGCCCTCCGGCTCCTCGTCCTCCTCCTCCACCATCCCCTCTCCTTCTCTCCCTCCCTCCATCGCTCTCTACGCGTTTCTTTGTGTCAGGGGGATGAGTAGTACGAGTACGTGCATGTCTTAGCATCATCAAAGGACGTCTCCGTCTCTCCACCAGTAGAGACCTGTTCGCTCTTTAATACGTACGTAATCGACTCTCTCGAGTCCCTCCCTCCCTTCTTTCCTCCGTTTCGTTTCATTCATTCGTTTCGTTTCCACTGCAATCGCACCTCCTTCTCTCCAGATCGTGGTCGGTGGGTATCACAAGCCATACCTCCAACCTTCATCTGAATCGCCACATAGCTGAACCTTTAGGATAACCCCATTTGGTAATACTTTACTGGAGAAATGATCTTGCCAGAGATTCATGCCCCTCTCCCACTGATGCACCATATACCCACACTTGATGGTTTTCAATGAGCATGAATGAATTAACAATGAGAATGGATTATTTAACATCGTATTGAAGATTTGCAGATAAACCAATATATTTTGCTTCAGTGGCAATGACATTAACGCACTTCCAAAAAAAGAGTAATTTTTCATGTTAAACGTGTGCTTTCACGGGGAACCACGTATGCTTGACAGAATATCGAAGGTTACATGCAAATCGGCATAAAATCGGAGGCTCCACATGTACTGGTTCATATGCACTGTATTCATTTTCTATGACTCTGGGCATAGATTGTATGTACGTACGGCCGTAGGTATTGATTGTATCTTTGACTATCCCGATATTTTGTGAGCACCGAGACTCGGAGGTTAGTGAGTATTATAGACCTGAATTCATTCGAAATGTTTTTCAGTGTCCAGGTTCCGTCTCCACCTTCTAGTCAATAGCTTAACGTGGACCAGGGAGACTTTAAAGGAATTTAATATGCACCTGCTGACTATCCTATCGGAAGATTCGTCACGAACGGCTTCGATGTTGTGGTCAAACCGATGCTCTCGTTTTTTCTTCTTCTTCTTAGGGACAAGTCATGGAATCAGTGTGCACACGTTGAACCCATCTTCTGCACATTTCAATCCCGGCTCTGCGTCATCACATCTTCATTGACGATCAGAAAACTCATGCCTACATTTCTGCAAGTGCAAAAAACTCATTTCCATTGAGGAAAGCACTGGATGCCGCAAGGAAAAAGCTCATCTCCTCCTCATGTTCCGTTTGACACGCCAGGCAATATGAAAGGACTTCGGCCACTCAAGATTCCATTCTCCTCTGGATTACGCAAATTTCTCTCATCCTCCTATAAATGGATCCATCACTTGTGTGCATGCTCACTAGATAATACCAATAAGCAGAGAGCACCTTGAGTAAGTGCCCATGGCCAGAATGATGGTGGAGATGCGATCTTACATGGAAGTTCTTCCTCAACAGATCCAACAAAGCTTACCGACCTCCAAGTTTAGAGACAGCGTGAGGGGGAGGAGACTTATGAATCTATGGAGTAAGAAGTAACGTGAGAGTGTGGTTAACAGCGACATCCTCGACCTCTCGATCCGTGACATGTGCCACATCTCAGTTATTGTGGAAGCTACGAAACTGTCCATCTGACCATACCACACGATCGTCTCTACCACGCACCGTTCGGTGACAGCGAGAAAGAAAGGAATTGTAGGAGACATAAAGACTAATTTTGGCCGTGACAAGGCCCCAGCCTGATGAGCATTGAAGGATCCATTTCGGCGAGCATGTCATTCGTCACACTTCTCGATATAACTTGACAAAAGTGTGGTACTTGGAAGATTGTCTTCAATAAGATTTCTAAAGATCTAGTTAGACCAGGTTGATTCGGACGGAGAGAACATTATAGTCAACACGATCTCCCTCTTCTATTCTCCCTCTCGTCTCCTACTTCCTTCATTTCCTCCTCATGGCACCCCGTGCTGCCTCGACAGTGTGCTGCAACACCGCTGGCCCAGAATCATTTAGTTGAGATTTCCACCAACCAGGAAAGAAAGAGTACTTGTATGGGCTGCTGATGACGGACATGACATGGGCATAATTAGAGTGATGGTTAAAGCACAAGCTCTTTTTGAGCTCTGTGATCTCGTTGGGAAGAAGGACAGTATGAGTTAACTTTGGGGAGGTCGACGCCTTTTGGTTTGTACTTGTGTTGAATACACAACTCCTTGCAAGCCTGTGAGCCTCCGATTTCTGTCGGTGGATTCTCGTATCGCCTGCACTCTCTCCATAGTCGCCCATACGGTTATAGTCTTCTAGACCATCGGCCCTATTGGACTCAGAGCTCGTGACAATTCATGGCTCTTATCTTCGAGAAGTCTAGTGTTAGACAAAGTGTAGTATGAGCTCAAAAGGCGAAAGCATAATATAATATCGAGCTCGACTCAGTTGGCCACGTCGCGGCCATCGCTGGTCCCAGCCTCCGAGAGGCCTTTACAACTCACTTCGCTATTGGTCGCAGTACAGCTTTTTAAAGCAGTTAGCCAAGATCGGAGGATCTGCTCTGACTTACTTTTCCTAAAGTCAATAGCTTATTTAAAATTGCCAATTTTTGTCGGGAGAACGGCCTCTTTCTTGCCATAACCTCATTCGTGATTCAGCAAGAAAGAAGTGTCAAAGATGGAATTAGTTGGCGATTCCAAGTGCGTTTCATCATTCGCATTTTGTTTGTTGAATCTGAAGACGAGGAGAAAGAGAAGATCGTTCATGACATGAATGACATCTGGTCCAGCCACCTTCATGATAGCGTAGTGAAGTGTGTCTGACGTTGTCTGAGCTAGTGGAGTTATTGTGATTACTTTAGCTTCAGGCAAATTTTATATTCTTTGGCCACTCCCTTTTTCGATGACCATTGTGCAGAACTTGCGACATTCTTTTCGTGCTGAATCTGCAACTGTCTGATACTTTTGCATGCTCTTTGTACGCCTCCAAACCTTCAAGCTCTCATCCATGACCTCTTCCACCTGCAATTTTCCACGCGCGATCTGGTCTCCACTCAAACAGAAGATTGGCCTGGATATTTTCCTCTTGGTTTCTATTTTTCTCGTGAGCCCTGTCACTGGCCTGGAGATTGCCCATAAGACTCCAACCGACCTGCATGACACTTGCGTCCAGGTGGCCGCACTTTAGAGGCTCAATCTCCGCATAGTCGGAGCGTAGGACTCCAAATTGCATGACTCATGCTCGACCCCCACCCTCACAATCCTCCATTGAAGCTCTCTTAAATCCCATGACGCACTTTCTGCCTTGCACTTGGGAAATTTCTCGTCTGTCCCGAGGAGATGAGATTTCTACCAGTCATGAGGTCGAAGTCCTGACGGTCGTCAACATTACAAGGGACGAGAGGCAGAGAAGGAACTCGTGAGAGCGAATGGCGAGATGTGAAACCACATGACAAACGTTTTCGTTTTTTCGCTCCCGCTTCAGATTTTGTTTTCTTCGAGTCGAGATCGTAGAATCCATGGCCGACAGATATCCATTATGAAATATAGACTGGCCAGAGGACAGGGTGGAACCAAAGGCATTACTTCAAACTGAATATCCTGTACGAAAAAAGTCCCTAGAACTTTACAGAAAGCGACGCCTAGAGTTGGAGGGAGGCATAAAGTGGTGAGAGCATCGACACCGAGGGCAGCGAAATTGATGAAGGGATGGAGGGTGGAGGAAGTACAAAGGCCGGCCTAAAAGCAACCTTCCCCCCTCCTCCTCAGACTAGACTTCTCACGTCCCACTGCTCGCATGATCAATTCAATTATCAGATAGCTGAGCGCCCGATTCCTCCTCAATGGAGCTAAAAGTAGCGGTGGGCAAGGCACCAACGAGAGGACAGCTTCTTATGCTGCTTGTGTCTAGCTGCTGCACTAGCCATGCTCCCGTTGTTTCGTTGGGGTCCTTTTCCGGCCTCGTCTAATCTATGGAGGGTGTACAGTACAGCAGGGGGCTCCTCCAGATGGTCATGGCGTCAGCGTCCCGACGCTGGTGCTTTGAGAGGAACCGAATCATTGCGGACCTCATGTCGACCGACCACAGCGCTCGCACTCGACTGCGTTCTGAAACGGTTCGTTCTCTCGATCGAGTGCAGTATTTCTGCCTGACCGTGTCCTTCGCTGTTGCATTCGTAACGAGATGAGTTTTCACGACGATGCCAATCATGATCTCGTGAGATCTGCTGCGATGAGATGACATGACATGGGACGAGATGAGGCGAGACGAGACTGTTGCTGCTGCTGCTGCTGTTGCTGGTCTCGTTTTGTGTGGACCGGATCGATGGCCGAGGAAAGACTGAGATTTTCGTCCCCTGTAACAATTTCTGGGACGGACTCGGCTCTCATGTCACTGTTGTGCAGTTAGTACTCATGCCCGTCATTTGTGTGTTGTTATTACTCCTCGTTCGGTTTCTATTTTGCTTGCACGTGGTTGCTCTGAGCTCTTCTCACTTTTTCTCTCCTCAGCCACGCCTTGATGTCCTCTCCCGAGCGCAACTGAAGACTTCGACATCCGGAAGATTGTCGATGGAGTGCCTCTGGTTGACTATGATTCTGTTACCGAGCTTGATACGTGGTGCATGAACTAAAAGCCTTTTTCTATTCTCAGCCGTGCCTCATGTGGGACTAGACCTACTCTGAGACATTCGCACAGTCGGATTGCAAATAATCCTTGGTGCAAATCGTGCTCGCTGCATTCGAGGCGTTCCCGATATTGAGAACTTCTGAGGTGGTCGAACAGAGGTCGCTTCGGATCGAGATCAACTAGTACGGTAAAGGAGAATGATGCATCGACGGGCGCTTCTTCTCCACCGACGAGTGGGTGATCGTTCTTGTGCAACTCCGAACTCGAGTAGCATTTCTTCCTCCAAAGTTCCTTCAGAAGTCCACGGTTGGTGTGAACCTCGTTCACTTCTAGGCGCAGAGCGTTAGCATGTCACCGGTTCCAAGACATGACAAAAAGCTCAGACCCAGCAGACACAGACTTTAATGCCTTCTTCTCCTTTATGATTCCGTCCATGATGACTTTGTGTTTGCCGTGGAATACTCGAACAATATCTGGCCAGTTAGACATTGTGACTGGCGATGGTATGACTCATAGAGAGATGATGACGTATGATATTAAGGGACTCGGGCATTGAAGCCTCTGAGGACCACTTCCTCGTGAGAGCTGGCGACGCACGACGCATTTATTCGTCCAGACGTTTCTGCTTTGCACTCTCTACAGAGTCTTCCCCTGAGAGGGATTCGAAAGAAGCTCTCCATTGCCCCTCAAACCCTCGATCAACCTCTCGCGAGCTTGAATATGAAGAAGAAATCAGCAGCATCAATGAATGTTTATTTCGCACCGTGTGAGGCAACTTCTTTCCCCCAAAAAATTCGACAACTTGATTATGCAGCTCAAATGATCTGCCAAACGCTGGCGGTATTCAGGAGCAGACGATATGAATGCCTGAGAGGTTATATGAAACCGGACAGCTCCAGCAGCCACGGACCGACAGAGAACAACGAGAGGAAATTCCGAACGCAGAACGATGAAACCAACAAGACTTAGAAACCTACATGATAGAGAGATGACAGCTTATCCGTTGCACCTCTGTTCTGATCGGTCACGAGAAAGACCAGAGAAACTGAAATATATCCATCTGAGCGCATCTCTGGGCACCAGTAATCGAAGAATATCTGAGAACTAGCTACAACAACTCGAGCACGAGCTCGAAGAGAACGAAGAAAGCAAAATCACAACTTACGAGAGAGTAAACTCTGTGAGTCTTGACTCGGAAATCTCAGACCGTACCGGATCATCAAGCGGGGGACGTGACAAGCATCAGCAAACCGTCAATACTTCAAAAGCAGAGTCTGCATCCATTCTTACTCGCTGTGCAACTAGTTATAAAAATCACAAACGCAAGCACGCATCAGACTTACCTTGCCATGGAACTATCGAAAGTGGTCAACTTTTCACTTCACTTCGAAGAGAGGAGTCCTGCTGGAATGCTTGGGCTGATCCGTGAGCAGGCAACCACCCAGAGCATGCTATCAGATGTCGGAACAGCTCACATCGGCTTGCTTTCCACGATTCATCTCCCGATGTCGAGCAGTCATAGGCCCTCTCCATCTCTCCATCTCTCCATCCCTCCATCCCTCTCTCTGAAGTGCATGACGTGGAAGAAATTGAGCTTGCGAATGATTTACTCGTCACATGCAAACGAGAATTCGAAGCCGATCGATGGGCAGTCGTCAGAAACCGAGAAAATGTCACCATCTGTTTGATCGGTTCTCATGCTCATCTAGGTGCCAGCACGCATGCACAGCCTGTGATTTCCATCGACGCTGAGATAGCCGGACAAAAAGCTGTGGGCGGCTCGAGCGGTGAAATCGAAGGCTACTCTGCTCTGGTCTGCCGGGGAGTGAGTGAATGCCTCCAGGTAAAAGTTATGAATCAGAACGGAGAGAGAAAAGGGGAATTGTTCACGTACGCAAGAAATGCGAAATGCGAAAGACCTTTTTCGTCGATCATGGAGAGCTCTTGGTTGACAAGTGCCCTGGTATCACCTACTCCCCCACTCCTCCCCATACCCTCGCGCCAGCACGCATCGAAAGTGTTCAGACAGTACAGGTTCCCGAAATATGCTGATCCACCGATTCTCCTGCTCGAGTGGGGGAGGGAGATCGCTGCCCGCTTCGTCGAGCATGAGCGAGTTACCCTCTACCACTTCCCTCCCCCCTGGCCTACGAACTTAACCCCTCTCTGCAGTTTTGCCCCTACCGTCTGACAGAGGCCCCTTTCGCAGGTGAGGGAGGGGGCTTCTCATTGTCCCCCGTCTGTCCGACGGTCGCCCGCTTTTACTGCGCTTCTTTTACCGTAGGTCCGTCTCGTTTCACTGCGAGACGGACCTTTATGTCAACATTCTCGCGGTCGGTGAAGATCGACCGCAAATGATTGGACCTCTTTCCAATATTTACCCCCAGCCCCCTGTGGATTCTCTTCCCTCGCTTTAACCCCTCCGATCCCCTTGCCCCCATCCCTTCCCCCATCAGCAGATATTTATTTCTTCGGATCCGTCACCGAACGAACGTCAGCAGCTGAACATTTATAACTTGGAGTCCCTCGTAATCGCCTCTTTCCGTGCCTCTCCTCCCATTTATGCAACAGACCCTAAACTTTAGAGGCTTCTTATTTTTAGATCGGGAGGAGGAAAATCTGGAGAGGAATTTCGTGACGGTCATTTGAATTTCTGCTTGTCAATAGAGCCATAGCGATGCTGATGCGCAGAGTTTAGAACATCTTCCAGGATTGCTGCAAGTAGAGACATATGAACTGGTTTTGCTTTGTTAAGTTGAATCTATAAAATAATTTACATGTATAACACATTTTCTGTCTCATCACAATCTCTCATTAATTCCAAACTTTAATCTTTTTTCTTAGAAACCATCAAATGATTTTATAATTTGAAATAGATTGAAGCATTTACAGAACTGTATGTAGAATATAATCATATATATCTTGTTGCGGAAAATAACAAAAACCAACTTTCTTGAAAACTGGAACTCCTTCTAATCATGTTCTAAAATGTATTATCATGCATAATATACCAAATGGGTTAGCTCTTCGCGTTTAAAATGTAAATTTATATCATTAGTCAACGATAGTTTCTAATCTAGATCATCCACAACAATGTGTAAAACAAGGATAATTCCTAGTTTGTAGTATCAATTAAAGAAAACAAATTGACTAATTTTATACACTTGTGTATTTGTTAAATTAAAACCACGCATATTGATCATAGCAAGCTTCTTACAACTCAGTATATGTTGTCACTTCAAAAGTTAGAATCTTTTGGTCGCCAATTGATAAGATATCATTATGTAATACCACACAAAATACAACAAATCAATACTCAAGAGTGTATCTAGTTGCTTTGCAAATCGAATAATAAACTTCCGAAGAGTATACATGACATAAATGCTAGTATGAACAACTTCTCAAATCACAACGACACATGTATCAATTTCAGGAAAAAAGTTTAACATTCAGATTTCATATATATATATATATATATATATATAATTTCAAATTTTAATTGTTTCAAGAAATCATTTGAGTTTCAAAAAAAATCAACATAAAAAAATCCACTTTAAACTTATAAAACTTTGATGTTTAATTTTTTATTGAAACACAATCAAATTTTTTTTTAATAATATAAATCTTTGTTGATAAATTTATTAATCAAAATGAATTCAACTCATGTTTCTTATGCTAATTAAACATTAAAAAACAAATTTTCATTTTTAAGTAACTTATATATATATGAAAAAAAAATATTTAAAACTTAATGTTGAAATTAGAAAATTAATATTAAGCTATAAATTTTATTTAATAAATCTATGAACTTTGATGAAACTGTATTTTTTAACATATATTGGAAATTTTACCTAGATCATTAGATTTCTAAAGACTGATATCATTATCATGTTTAAGGTATATATGTATAAATTAATCCAAAATTTGGTATAAATTCATTAAAAAATGGTTGAGCGGAAGTGACTATATTTTTATTTGTATATAATGATCTGAATCATTCAAGCCATAGTGGTTTGAGAAAATAAAATTTTGATCCAATAATATGATCCAAAATGATGAAAGACTACTACTAAAAGCATATTTGAAATGGTAGTAAGCAACTACTACAACATGATATAGAATATTGGAAAACATAAGAGCAATAACTGATCCAACACGATTTATGATTGATAAGATTTTTTTTTATGAGCAACTTTTTTATTTAAAAAATATTTATTAAATACAAATATAATTATTAATTATCAAAAAAAATTTAAAAACTATAGATTTTATCAATATTGAAAATTATTAAAAAATTTCAAAACATTAAATCTGCACACAAAAAATTATAGACAAAATTATATTATTGTGGATTATTGAACTTACCATGGCATTATTAGCTATTTATAAACAATTTTTTCATCATCAATAGTTTTAAACATGTTTGATATAATTTTTAGTAGTATTTTTTATTCTAAAAATGATGCTTATATTATATTTTATTATGATAAAGTATATATCTATATGCTATGGTTTAATTTGAATTATTTAACAGTATATTGAATTTCAATGACAAATTACTTACATACATTTATAGCTATCAATTGTTAAATTAGGCAATTTGAAATATGGTATATGAAATAATAAAATTTTCATGTCTTACATGAAATCTAAACTAATTAATTCAGAATTTAATTTTGTCTCATCAATATTTTTCATAATTCAATAAATATATTAATGATTATCAATTTTTGGCAAAAAATATTTAGAAAAAGAAATATAATTTTTTATCATAAAAAAATATTTGTGATACTTACATGATTACTGTGTAAGATATTCATGATGATGGTCACTTTTATTCGAAGTAAAATTAATTTGACTTCATTAAATTAAAAATAAATGATTATTTTACACATTTATTGAAATATGAATTAGACAAGATAGTATTTTTATTATTCATTTTGTAAAGTTTACAAAGAAAAATTTAAGTATGTATGAATAGAATTTTAAACAAAAAATAGGCTCAAAGTTAGTTAAAGATGAGTTTAAAAATCAAGAATTAGAACAAATGCATATTTTTCCATTTGAAGTGAAAATAAAAATCTTGCATAAACGCAAATTTAAGCATATTACATGGTTAAAAAATGTAAGTTGATAAAATATATAGCAAGATTGAGATAATATAAGACTAGATTGGAAGAAAATAATATTAGTCAAAATTCTTATAAGAAAAATATGCAAACTTTGAAGCTTTGAAATCAACATCAACATAATATATTGATATTGAATAGTAGTGAAATTTTACGTGATAATTGATAATATTCATTTACATTTTTTAATTGATATGATGTGATTGAAGTACAATAAATAAATCATTCATATTATATTATCAATGATATTTTAATAAAACTAAATATGATTGTCAAAATTTCCAAAAAAATAAAACTTTGTTTTTAAAAGAATACTTTCTAATAAAAACTAAAAAATAAATATGACCAACAAAATAATTACACAAGAGGTTTAAAATCATGAGCCACTTGATTTGTTGTGCTTTGACGGTTTCTATGACTTGTGCAACTTGTTTAGCTGTTGCATTCGCGTGACTCACAACTTGTTCTACTTGCTCAGTAACAGCAACATGCAAGATCTCCATCACTTGTTCTACCACAAGAGAGAAAATTTGGGTAGGTTTAAAGTTAAAAGCCATGAATCAATGAATGAAATATATATATGAGCAAAATGACTTGATGTGTTATGCAAGTGATCTCAAACATATGAATTGCGAAACATGTGTAACAAAAAACGTTATCGTGGTTTTACATCAAGCAATCATTCTCAACAAGATGGTATAATATTCATGACATTGAGCTAGGTCTCATCGCCTGAAGTAGATAACACCACACACTAACATATCCTAATAACGGTTCATTGTCATATAATGACGATCGACAATATCCCAAACAGTGCTTAGATTCAAACATGATGTAATAATTGTGCATGGAATGTACCATGATTTTTTTCTATAAATTTGAAATTCAAAATTAATTGTCATTTTTTAAATTCTTAATTTTGTTCAATTATGTCTATAATGAGAAAATTTTGAAATTTGAAATTCAAGCATATAAATTTTGTTTAATTGAAACATGAATATGCTTTGTTGCAAAGAATAAAATTTTTAAGATACTTTTATAAATATGATTAAATGATACAAATATTAAAATTGCAATAAGTAAAATAAATAAATTTATTTATCAAAATAAAATCAATGAATCTTATGTCTATTTGATACATGTTTGATAGATAAAATTTTTATTCATGAAAAAATATTTTGAAAACATAACTTCATGAAATCTATGCGATTAACATATCATTTGTTGGAAATCAACACACTTTTATTCTACAAAATTAGATAATTAACTCTCTTTTATGGCCTTGTAGCACACCATCATCTAGATCTAACATGATTTTTGAGTTAGGTACAATACACTAGGACAGGATTCTAATTGGATGTTAACTCTCATTTACGATGTTGTAGCATATCTTCACCCTTAATCCAACACAATTTTTGAGTTAGGTACAATCCAATGGGACAAGTGCCAAGTGGACGACATGTATCCAATAGACAAACAAATATATGCTCCATCCGGTAAAACAAATTGTGTTGGATTCCAACTATAAATTTATATGATTAATTTTTTTCTAGACTGCGAAGTATAATATCATGTAATATCAAATATATCATACAAAACTCAATTGTCCATATCATTTGTAGATTTTAACCTCGTCCATCACTCTTTTGTCCTCAAAGATATACTTGTCATGCATGTCGTTGTAGTTCTCGGATATACCAACACGATCAAATTCATCAATGCTATCATCATTATCATATTCGTTGATGAGATTTTCTCCAACTTCATCTTTAAATCCGCTAAATCATGACAGAGCTGCTACAGCCACTTGCAAAACTTTGTATTTTTTATTGTAACAATTTGACAATCAAATTAATTCAAATCGAATAGAATGATTGTACATGTTTTGATCTTGTGCTTGCTCAATCGAGCCCTTGAGCGATTATGAACTCGTTTGATCATTTTGTGATTGTCATCTATCTTCCATTTGCTGTAATTGGATTCTTGTGCAATGCAGATGTTAATTTTTTATGACATCGTTGTCGTCTGAATATGTAATATCTTTAGTGAGTTATA